AGCTTTCTAACATTTGTTATATGCACTGCCCCAACAGATGCATAAACATAACCTCAGACACAATCCTGCTACAATACCTTATTCCAGCTGCGCGAAAACGCACGAAAATGTAACCTTGTGCATGTATGTCAACATCGGGAAGGACTGATTTCAGCTCCGACGCAAACTCTTTACGGCTTTTATCAATCAGTGATTTGTACTGATTAAGAATGCGGCCTTCCTCACGCGTTTTCTTGATTACAAGATTCATTTCGTCCAGCTGCCGACTGAGCTTGTGGACTGTTTCCTGAGCATTTTGAAGCAAAGGGTTGTTACGCGTCATGTGCTCCGCTTCTGCATCTTTTATTATCTGCAAAATTTTTAAAATGCATGCATCCTCTGTTACGAATGGACAATCTGACGGACGCAGAATATGGGGGTATGAAAGACTGGCACAACATCTCCACCCGAGCAAGCAGTCGATGAAGCGATTAAATTCGATGAACAATGACAGCCCAGTGTCCTCAAGCACTCTTTCAGTTGCAACGCTAAATGAAGAAATTTTTATGATTATCAAGCAGCGGCGACACTCTCAAAGTTTCAATTTGGAGTTGTAGCCACGCAGAACAGCCCTACTCTCATTCGTTCGTGCTTCGCTTAAATCCGCTTTCTTCCAATTTTTGCTAGGCTGTATAAATCGGCAGTACAAAATCATGAGGCCAGAAGCTGAACAAATCTAGCTGTATTTCGTGTGATCTGAATGCTGGAAAATCAACTGCCTGTCTCTCTAACAAATTCTGAAGCTGAAAAATATCAGCTATGAAGCGTCGGTGTGCAAACAACAAACAACTAACTGCAAGAAGCAATGAAGCAAGCGACCAGTAAAACAGAGAGAAGTATGCTCACCTTCCTGACATTATCCAAATAATTCCGAGCATCTGCCTCCTCTCCGGCGCTGCTTCTCGTTGCCTTTTCGGCTGCTTCGAAGGCGCTTGTCACATTAGCCCAATCACCTTTCTAAACACAACGCAGCAATCCACATCAGAGAATTTCTAAATTTTCAGTAGATACGATACCCTTACCTCGCCTTCATCAATTGTTTGCTTCATCGTACGCGTGTGCTCGTTTATGGCTTCTAACGTCTTATATTTTGCTTCTGTTGCTGCGTGCACCTTTTCAATCGCTGATTGTAACGATGCCTTCAGTGATTTTTCCATTGCTAAAAAACCTTATCCAAAAACACCCGATGCTTCAGATATACTCGTGATTTTTAATTCTGTTAGATAACTAGTCCAAGATGTTCAATCTCGCTGTCACCTCGCCCTGTCAGGGCACACTACTGCAAGAAGCCTAAAGAGACACAGTGTACATACATTTACAACTAGCAACGTTGGTTTTCACAAAATGTATTGGCTTCGACAGTCTTTACAAGTTCACATATTCGCCAGTAACGCATAGAACTACTGCGCTTCCTATTTAAGAAGTCGATTCATTTCTTTCAACGCATTTAATTATTACATTTTACATTTTACATAAGCAAACGGTGAAGACCAGGGCAAGCTAAAACCTTGATGCTTTGCACAAAAACGGTAAGGTGCGAAGTAAAAACTTGGCCGCAATGCCGGCGAGGTTGGCATAACAGTTTCGCACTTGCGCAGATTTCTGACAACAGTTCGAAACGGGAAAAACCTTATGAATTGTACTTCAAAGCAGAGTAGATTTTATATGGCAAATCGAAAATGCCTCAGTTTGCGCGGCTGAGTTCTTTTAGTCAGAATTTCAAATAAAGCAATTTCACGAAAAAGTATCACGGGAATTAATTAAGCATATGTGATGTGATGAGATGGTGGAAGTGCTAAAAGAAAAAAGCATACACTCGCTTTGTATCCTTGCAATTTCCGGTGTTTCCGTCTTCTGGATTTCAGCTTCCTTAGCAACTTCTGGAGCAGACGAAGGCAGTGCAGCTGCTTGGGGTGCCTTTAACAGATCTACTTCCCGCTCATTTTCCAAATATCTAAAATAATGAACAATCGGATGAACCAGTCAATGGTAGCTCTAATCATAAATGACGCGTACATCGGAAGCGCTGAAGAGATTTGGGACTTCGGGCATGGAAAGCATACTCCACACATCTCACAACTCAACTTAGCACATCAAACAAATCTCGGCATATCTCATGAACAAGGCCTGTCCGGCTTGCACAGAACAAACAAAACGATTTATAAACAGCTGTTCAGATTTAAAAAAAAAAAAAAAAAAAAAAAAAAAAAAAAAAA